ACCTTCACCTTCTAGAAAAGAACTAATTTTATTCTTTAAAGGGTGGTCTGTTACTGAGAACCAAACTTAAAAAACAAAAAAAAAAAAAACAAAAAACAAAAAAAAAAAAAAAAAAAAAAACAAAGAAAAGGTGGGGAAGTCTGATCTTGGCATTCTTACCCATAACAGCAATTCTTCTCAACAGAAAACTGATCTTAGTTCAACAAGTAAGGGTATGTAAATGATCTGATACTGAGCTATGTACATTACCTTCACCTTCTAGAAAAGAACTAATTTTATTCCAATAAAGGAACGTATTGTAGTTACTGATCTCAATTTTCTCTTAAAATTGGTTGTGTGCTTAGTAGCTTTGCAATATAATAAAAATGAAATGATTACATTCTAAATTATTGCACTTCATCTCAGCAAATGAATGACTAGGAAAAGGTCTGATTTTCAAATCTTTACAGACCTGAATCTTGCTCCAGGCTTACCTGTGTGGGATCGGAGATGCACAGTGAGCTGGCTGGAGTTGCGGCTCGCGTAAGGACAGATCTGGCATTTAAAGGGACGTTCGTTGGAGTGAATGCGCTGGTGCTTGTTGAGGCTGCTGCTGTCGGCAGCTGCATAGTCACAGTGCTTGCACTTGTAAGGCTTCACCCCGGTGTGGGAACGCATGTGCATCTTCAGCTTATCTTTACGGCTAAAGCATTTGTTGCAAACCTCACATTTATGGGGCTTGTCTCCTGAAACAAACAGAGAAGCAGTGACACATCAAGATTTTTACACCATAAAAATGTTTGCAGAAAAATGAATTGTACACAAAAACACTAAAATAGGAATTGTGCTGGTTATTGAAAAAGCTTTTATAACAGTATGAACTGGATGCAGGATTTGAGATGTCAGTCTGCTAGCTAAGCTCTCTTAAGAGGCTCTGAGATGGTGAACATGCAAGTACAACAAACAATTCAGAAGACCTTTGGAAATTTCTCCAAACAGCCATTTCAGATTTGTAAAGGGAGAACTTTTGAAATCTCTATAATAAATTAAGGGCAAGTTAGTAAATGATTTAGGACATGTTATGCCCTACCATATGGCCACAAGCAGATAAGCACATGGCTGGCATCTCAGAAACTTAGTTGTGATTTTAGTCCATGTTCACTGTTTTAGTTTCCTACCCGTGAACAGTAGGAGCCAGAAATCTGGCTTACCAAGAGGGGCAATTCTGAAACACTGAGATCTACAATATTAAAATGTACAGATATATGTGTGTATTTTATTTAATTTATCTATAGACATGTAATTCAATGTAGTGTAATGTAGGATTTTTTTTTTTGTAAAAAGCAGAAAAGGATGAAAAAAGCTAAAATAAAAATACAGCAACTACATCAACCTGTATGTGTTCGCAGATGACGTTCCATATCCTTCATACCATAGGAAGTCTTGAACTGGCAACCTGAGAATGGTAAGATTAAAGAAAAAGACCCGGCAACATTAAATTCAAGAAGCAGCTAACAAGATGATAATCATAAAAATATACTATGCTGTTCTGACCTTTTCCTTTCTTCTCCAGGACATTTTCTTTAAAATTCAGTATTTCTAGAAAATGAAGTCCCCATCTTGTTTCCTCCCATATACTTAAAATAGTAAGTGGATTACTTACGAACTTTAGCTTTCTAGTGCTTCCCTAGGGGGGAATTCACTCTCCACATTATCTTTTTCTGTAATTCTTTGAGTGGGCTTTAAAACAATTCTCTGGAATCTTGCCTAGGACTTGAGATGCTCTTTACAGTACATGGGGGACACAGGTGGAACTCATTAATTCCACATATAATCTCAGGTTAGTGCTTTGGGAACTCAGCTAATGGCTCACCATTCAGGAATCCTGTTGGTGAGCGCTACACTTGTAGAGTACAGAAATGAGTGCTGTGCATTTGGAAGGTGTCTCTCAAATGGAGGCCATAAAAAGAAGCACTGAAACTTTTGCTCCAATTAACATGACTACTTATCTAGGTGGCTGTCTCTACATAGGTTTTCTGCATACTGGTGTGGTTCTTTTACACTTTAAACTCTGAAAATATATCAGTTCAAATCATCCCTAAAAATATTGTACCTGAACAAAGAACGTGTGCAATGCAAAATGCACGCAAAATGTTTTTTAGATACAATGATGGTAGTCAGCAAAAGGTTAGCAAAGTTGTGCCCTTGGCTCTCCATTTCAGGCAGAGGTCAGAGCATCACCAGAATATACYACAGAACAGTATCAAGAACTTGTCCAAGAACTTCTGAGGACAACAGCAAGAGCGCTACTGACCTCAGTGTTAGCAGATTGGTTGAGGTTGCTTTCCAGATTCTGTACATCTTAACTGCATTAAGCAGACAGCCTTACTGTATACTGTAAGTATACAAACCTATTGTTTTTAAAATGAAAAGAAGAAAGACAAAGTCACCACCCTACCTGGATAGCAGCAGTTCAGTTTCTTCTGTGTCAGTGAGGCAGCAGATTTCCTTGAACGAGCCTTGGGCGGCGTGGAGACAACAGCAGTGGCTGGGGCCTCGCTGCTCTCACTGGGCACGTACGTTTGGTAGCCATGCTCAAACACAAACTCTGGGGCGGAAACTAAACACACAAAAACAGCTCAATTTAAGAGCTTTAACTTCTCCGGGAAGCAAAAGTTATTTACCAGTTTTATTAATTACTTCTCTATTGCATTTTTTCCAGCAACATTCCTATTCCTGACTTCCTATTCATAAGGGGAGGTGGGGAGAGAACTGTTCTCCCCCTGGCTGTCCTGCTATCAGATGAGAATGCTTGTCAAGACCCCACGCGGCACGCTGAACTTCATACAACCCTAACTTGGCTCCTTCTCTGTRTCCTATCTGATTGCACAATTAACGGTTCTGTTTCTTTTGATGCCTGCCCAGGTCTTACATTAATAAAATTATGCTTGTTTTTCAGCACTGACTGTGCTAGAGTCCAGAGAAGAAGAAGAAAAAAAAAACTGTTTATAAGGAATACATCCAAAAAAAAATATAGTTTAAAGATTTAGCTCCTTTCAACTACACTATAACTGTTACTCACAAAAACAACAGGAAAACATTGTAGGTTGAAATATTGGTTTTAAATCAGTTAAATCATGCTGTACCCTACAAAGGGCAGAATGGTGCAACTGCCCTCATCTTGAAAATGAGTAAATAAGGAGAAAAGTGACTCATGCCAACTTCACACTAATTTGAGGGATTATAATACAAAAATTCCTGGAACTAGGCCCTGAATTCAGTTTGCTTCACTACTTGATCAGATGCTCTWCCATATTCTGTCCATCCAACTCAAAATATTGGAGTTTTAGTAAGGTCCCAGACCAAAACTAAATGYACTTTATATAAAAGAGCCAAACTTCCATGCAAGGAACAAAATATCTGCTCTACTTAAATGTTTGCAGGATCGGGGCAGCATTTGAGCCTTTGCATAGACAGAAATTTTGAGTAATATTTTTCCTGCCAATTAGTCATGGAAGCAATGCTAGTGCATGCAGTATTCTCACATAAAAAGGCCTGGACTGGTGCCTGACAGCAATCCCAAGCCTGTTTCTCATCAAGAGCACTCTTAGCAAAAATAAAACGCACAGCAATTTGATTACTTTTTGTAAGTAYTGACAACTTTAATTAGCCTTTGCAAGTCAGTTAGACAACACACTAGACTGAAGCTAGCCTAAGCGAGCTCATAGCTCAATTAGAACCTAAGGAACTACTGTCACACCAAGGGGCCTGCACATCGCTTGGTTTTATCCCTTTGCACGTATGCGCTGATTAACGTGAAAAATAGTGTTTTCTGCTCAAAGCAGCGGGGACAACGTGAGCCAGGCTGAGCCCGGGCGCGCTCATGGCGCCCCACGCCGCCGTACCTGTGATGGTCTGGGTTTCCGAGGCGATGGTGGCGGCCGGCGGCTGCGTCGCGGGCACTGTCTCCTCGGACACGAACTGGACGGTGCTGGCGGCCCCGGCCGCGGCGCCCGCCAGCTGGCAGCCACTCTGCTTGTGGGCCACGAAGGCGTCGAGGTTGTTGAACTGCTGCTTGCAGATGCCGCAGATGTGGATGTCGGGCGTGAGCTCCACCAGCACCGTGGTGCCGCCGGGGACTGCGGGGGCCACACATACGACATGTTAGTTATATAATAATATAACAACGCTTATATAATATATATAACAACAACGACGTGGGGAGGGAGCTCGGGGCAGGCWGGTGCTGCGGGGCTGATCCGCAACGCTCCGCCGCGGCCCTGCCCGGGTGCCCCCCCGGCCGCTCCGCAGCGCCCGCCCGCCTGGTCCTGGTCCTGGTCCCGGTCCCGGCCCAGGCCCGCGCAGGTTCCCGGGCTGCCCCAACGCAGGTTCCCGGGCCCCGCTCCCGCCCGCTTCTGGCAATACTCAGGTTTCGGGGCCTTGCGCTTCCGCCGTGCGGGCCCCGGAGCGCGCATAGCCCGCGCGCGCGCCCGCCCGCACTTACACTGCACGGGGCCGGGGAAGGGCGGCGCCGCCCCGCCGCCCGCGTTCATGGCGGCGGCCGCAGCCCCCGCCGCCCGCGCGGGGCTCGTTGGCGACAGGGAAGCTCCCGCCGGCCCCGGCGGCGCCCGCTGGGGACGGATGTGGAGGCGCCGAGCATGCTCAGTGGCGGCGGCCTCCGCCTGCGCGCTCCCGCCGCCGCCTCGCGGCCCTCGCAGCGCCTCAGGCGCCCGCCTCAGGCGCCTCCGTTCGGTGCCGAGGCGGCCCAAAAGCTCCAGTGCTGCCGCTTGGTGTCTGCCCACCCGTAGGCTGCCCCGCTTTTCCAGCTTGTGCTTCGTGTGGTGGCTGCAGGGGACAGCAACCATGTCCCAGCCCTGCCAACTCAGGGCCGCTGCCTTCTGTTAAAGCTTTCTTTACTCAAGTTAAAGCTTTCTGCSGAGCTGATGGCATGGGGTGATGAGCAAGGCACTGGTGCTGCAGCRCTTTTTAACATTCCTCTTCTCCTGGGCGACTTCTCTGACACTCTGCTAAGGATAGCCCCTCGCCTTGGCTCACACCTCAGGACTCAAATACTCATTTCACTGAGAGAAAACACTTCAYAGACAGGGTATTGGGGACAGAAAGACACCGATATCTGCTGAAGTGACTGGAAAGCCACTCGATGGAGTGGGTTTCTGAATGTAGACCTAAAAGTTCTTCACGGGCAGGCAGCTCGCCTCATATTTARCACTGGGGGAAGACTTTCCTAAGATGGCTGCCCTTCTGTGGGGTGAGGCTTGAGCAGGGCCAGGCCCCAAATTTGTGCTGCTAGTTCATGGCACAGATGAAGTTTTTCTTTACTCAGAAAGCGGCATCTGCTTGACATTTATGTTGTCTCATTTTGCCAAAACAATGTAAGACAGACACGGGGCTGTTACAGGGTCAAAACAAGGCACAAAAGGTGATATTGCTTAGTCGGGTCTTCAAAACCCACAAAATGGGTTTCATTACACGTCGTCTCACTGGCTACAAAGATATATTTATGTTGTCTTGAGACTGCAGATAGATCTTAATCTATGTTTCATATACAAAAGATGTTTTTAGTTGACTAATAAATGAAAATACCAAAGAAGAAAGAAACACGATGAAGTCTATATCGAACCATGAGTAGTAATATGATTTTCAAAGATTATTCAGAATCTCCAAATGAAAAACAAACAAACAAAC